AAAAAAAAACATACCAAATGAAATGTAATGATATTATGCATCTATTTAAAAAAAAAATTATATTGATTTGGTTATTTTTAAAAAAGTTATAGCAATTTTAAGTAAAAAAAATTGAAAAAATTTCGAAAATTAGCGATTTTTCAATTTGTAATTTTTTTGAAGGTTTCCCCCATTTGCGGGGAACGAGGGATTTTTTTTCAATTTTTGAGGGTAATGTCTTCGACTAGATACGATTTGTGATCTTTTGACGTATCATTNATTCCCTACTTGAGTACAATTGAACTACCATATTAATCTGATAATTATTGTTGTTAGAATTTTATTGACTATACTCTAAATAAAAATTAGACAAAGTAAATGTAAATTAGTATAAAATCAATTAAGTAAAAGATTCTTTAATGTCTAGTAGAACATTTTTCCTATATAGTCTTTTATAGCTATATTTTTTTATCTTATTATATATTATATAGAAATGGCTAGGAATACTTCTGGGCATGACAATCCTGGACAAAGCCTATTTCAAGGGACTGATCTGACCAGCATTCAAGTTAATAATGATTTCCAAGATGATGAAGAAGAACATTTAGAAATGCAGAGACTTCAAGAAGAGGTATTAATAATGTTAGTTAGATTTTTTAGTTTTAGTTGTTAAAGGTTTCCCAAAACATATATTGATGTAATAGAGAATTTGTATAATGGGACTTTTACCAGGATAAAACATATAGACGGAGTAAAAAAAAATTTTAGGGTAAGAGTAGGAATGCACCAAAGTTTTGCTTTAAGCCCTTTCTTATTTTCTATAGTGATGGTTAAAATTACTAGAGAAATAAGGAGAGGGACCATGGTGCATGTTGTTTGTTGACAATGTTGTGTTAATAAGAGAAAATAGGGAAGAAATAAATGAAAGGCTAGAGGTGTAGAGATTGGGTTTAACAATTAGTAGAAATATGATGAGAGTAATGACAATAAATGAGGATGTGATAGATGAAGTAGAAAGTTCTAAATAGTAGCCAGAATTTGCTAATATTTAAGTAAAGAAACTTTTGATATTTTTAAAGAAGATATCAAACATCTAAAACCCAAAGAGAATTTGGCAGACATGAATCTTTGAACATATAGATAGCTTAGTAAGTTGTTTGACTTATGTGTATATATATATACACATAGGTGTCAGGTAATTAATAATGGCAACAATATTTTGGTGAAAACACTAACTTAAAGAATCATAATTAATATAATTTGGTAGGAAGTGTGCACAATGGACCTAAAAGTCTGAGTTCATGGTTAGTTGTTGCCTACCTCTCTAACAAATAAAACTAGGAACATTTGTACAAAAAAACAGTGTTGTTGACGAGATTTTGAGACTTAGAATTAAGTGTGAATGGATCAAGAGAAGTGTGTTGTTTTGTGCAATAAGAAAATCCAAATCTCTAAAGAAAGTTCTATACGACTGTAGCGAGATACAAGTTTCATTTACAGTTCCTGTACCACACAACCCCCTATGGGTGATTCCCCGCTCCCAGGTGTTGATCATTCCCTAGATGTACATTCCACATTTCCTATCAGGTCAATAGAGGGGCTTCCTTTAGTTCTGACTGTTAATGAAAATGACGATTTTCCGAGTATCTTACCTTTACGTGAGTCACATCCTCTTTTCCCTTTCAAGTAGGGAATTTAGTGAGTCTGTTAATTTCTTATCTGTGCTTTGCCACATTTTCCTAATGTCACAAAAGATTCTTCAGCCTTCCTCTTCTCAGATTTCTGGGAAACTAATTTCTTCCCTTCCTTCTGGGTTGTCAGTGGCTTAGTAACATAGTTTGTGAAACAAACTCTTCCTATTCTAAAATATAGACTGCATTTGAGTTCCTCCAGTGTGATCATGTTCTTCTTATCCACACTTAGGAATAGAGTTTGTTCTTTAGGGCCAACCTCTGTCTCATAGTGGATTATTTTCCCTTCAGTTGGTTCTTTTGTCCTTTTGTGTTTTCGTGGTTCTCTTCAGCTTGAGCTTTTAAATGCTATTAAATATCTTAGATTTAAGTTTAAGACCTTCAATCCTTTCAGCAACTTCACCCAGTTAGTTTTGTGACTTCTGGTTTGCCTCTACTGGCATCATCTCTGTGCTAGTAGACGGTTCACTTAATGTCTTGTTGTTCTCATTGTTGTTTTGTGTTTTTTTTAATGTTTTTATCCATATAGTTTCCTCGAATAGTAGAGTTATGAAGATCCATCACAGCAGAGCTCAATACTGTGATAAGGCTTGAGTTGTTAAATCTGTGATCCTTACAGATCTCCCTATAGATGACAATTACTGTTACTAATTGTTGTGTTACTAAAATAATTGAAAACTAAAATTTTATAATAAAGAATTAATTAATTTTTTTCAGCTTGTTAAAGAAATCGAAGAATTTAATGAAAGTGAGGCCAATATGAGTGTTATAAATTCTAGTCATTGTAGTGACAATTCTGATGATGGTAAATTTGTTTAATTAAAATATTTTAACTTTATATTTTATACTTGTATGGATTAAATTAAATGATTTTCCTTATTAAGAGGAAGTAAAAATAATGTATTAATACCATCCTCTCGAAATATATTTTTCCATCCAATATATTTTTAGAAAAATTGGTTTATATTTTGATTTTATATTTATATTTTGTCCTCTTTGTAAAACTGCTTCTGGTAAAGAGAATGGAAAAACCCCAATAGATCAACACAATGAAATTGAATCTCAGTACATAAAAAATGAGTCTGAATGTGTTCCCCCAACTGAACTATGTACTTTATTTTTTTTTAATTTTAGCTTGCGAAGCTGAGAAGGAATTAAATTTACTATGATGTGTTTTTTTTTTTTTTTTTTTATGTCTGTTGCCACTTTTACTACGCTCTCACTGGACCGATTTCTTTCAAAAGTATGTCAAAAGATCACAAAACGTATCTAATTGGAGACATTACCCTTAAAAATTGAAAAAAAA